AAGTTACACAACTAGGATAGAATAAAAAGAATTCCACAATATCCAAATTATTCAATTAGAATATTACCATTCTAAAATATCATCATATAATAATATCTACATCCAGATCAAAACGTGGTGGTCTTAGCCACCCTATATTACAAGCTTGGTTCAGATTAGCCTCAGCTATCTAGTGGATGGATGTCCCAGAAACCACTATCTCTCAAATTTTATCAACATATCCACACCCAAAACATATTTTCACATCATTCATTTCAATTAAGAAAATAACAAGATATTAGTATCACCAAAAAGTACAAAAGTAGATATATTTTTTTATTTATTTACTTATTTCTCTTTTCTTTTTTTTTTGCAGTCAAATAAAAATAAATAAAATCTGTTGGCCTGAAACACACAAGAAACAACACAAACAAAACAAACTCAGGAAAACTAATCTAACTTAATCAATTATGTTTGGCATCACAACATATCATATAAACAAAATAACCTACACAGCCATAATTTAATTTCCAATCAGCAAAATTGATGATGGCTGCTGTTTCTCATCAGTTACAAATCTGAAGCAACCTCAAATCAGATGGCTAAAAAAATCAAACCACTGACAAGAATAAATCTGTACAAATCAACACCACCACACTAAAGTAAATGACTAGAGTTTCTTCAAGCAGTTTTGCTGATTGAACCTTCATTAATTATCATCGCAATCCAATAAACTCCTCAGCTTGCTCCTTGCCTCCTCCGACATACAGAACCTAAACCTCGATCTTCGCGAACAAGTATTCAAATCCCGAGACGAAAAACAAACGACGACAGCTGTCACGTTATCACACGAGTCCCTCATCAGCGCCCGGTTCACGAGCTCCCGCGCACACACGATCGGGTCCCGACACCTCGCAAGCTCCTCCCTCACCACACAAACAGCCTCCTCGTTCGACATCACGTCCCAAATCCCATCACACCCGATAATCAAAAACTCGTCATCCTCGGTCAACAAAGTCAACCCAAACTCGGGCTCACCCGTCAAAGGCGAGCCCGACCCAAACGGAACCTTCAAATACCAGTCCCCGAGCGCCCGAGTCACCGCCAGGTCACCATTCAGGTACCCATACTCGATTTTCCCGCCCAAATCCTCAACACGCTTCCTTTCGACCCGGCAAGAAGGCCTGTGGTCACGTGACAGCTGGACAGCATTTCCATTCCTGCACAGAACAGCTCGACAATCTCCCACATTGGCTATGAGAAGGTCTCGTCCGAAAACAAGAGCCGTCAGAGCTGTGGTCCCGCAATACGGGTCGACTGGGCCCGTTTCGTTTGCCAGAGCCAGGTCAGCAGATTTGAACGACTCACGATGGGATTTCTCGAGATTTTTCAAGAAGTGCTTTTTTTCGTCAATATCGTCTGTGGATGGGGGTTGGGGTAATTGGGCCTCCGCGAAGAAGAATCTGAGTGCGTTGTTCTTCATGTAGAGGGCAGCATCGGGCCCGCCGTGACCGTCGAACACTGCGTAGAAGGAAGTGGGCTTTGGCCAGCTGAGGAGGGAAGGGCCCAATTGGGCTGCCAGGTCATCAATGCGGATGTGCTGATCCTCGTTTGAGCTGCGGGGCCCGATGTCCGTGTGGCTGCCTGAGAAGATTTTTTGGGCAACTTTTTGGGTTGGGGTCTGTGTGCTGGTCGAGCAGCTCAGAGACTGGCAATGGGAAAAGAGGTCACGTTAGGATGAAAGAGTCGGACAAATTGGTTCATAGTAGAGAGTGTATAAAATTTTTACATGTTGGGTAAGTGGTAAACTATCAAGTGAAGTTAAAGTTCGGTTTTGTAGTTTCTTCAGAAAGATGATACTCTAGTGGCTTCTTATGTTTGTTTGAAGATGTGAAACATATAAAAGTTATGATTCGATTAGGTTTCTAAACTTAAACTTGATAATTACAGATAATTTTTGTATAACTATTGAAACATTTGCCCAAGACAAGATGAAAGTTTTGCAGCTAGAGCTTATAAAATTACAGTATTCATTAGGTTAATCTAAATTTACAGTTCCTCAATCATTAACGCTTGGATGCACAACCAAGAACAACAATAATTTCGCTTTCTTAACAGAAAAAACGATGTCAGCATGAAATTCTTAATTGTTTGTCAAAAGAAATCCTAAACAACCAAAAGCATATAAAGGAAAGCCCTAGCTTGCAAATAACGCAACAATTCAAGTCTCACGCAGACTAACATACAAACCCACTAAAACAATAAACGTCAGAACCCATCACAAAGTAGCTAAAAGGGAAGACGAATCAGTACAGAACAATGGAAAAGAAACCCTAATTCGGCGAATAGGGGTCGGTAGCAGAGAACAAGAAACTAATGAACTCCCGACAAAATCCAAACACCAAAAACTACAAATCGACGGTCAAAATAAACAACAAAAAGAAAACCCTTATCCTAGAAGTCAACAACCGAAATCAACAATCTAAATAATCCCGACAATTAAGAAATCCATCCATGTCAAGATCAAGAAAACGACGACTACTAACCGAATCAATGCGACAGAGGTCGATCTCGATCGGTGCAGCAGAAGCCGCCGCCGGTGAGATGTCGAAGAATTTCGCGTCCGTCTTCGGCGACGGCGGAGACGGAACGCAGAGGTACGGAACAGCCACGGCCGGTCGACAAACAATCTCAGCTTCTGCCACCATGCTTGTGGGATTATTTATGGTCTTCTGAAGCAACTTCACAAAAAATCGAATCTGAAAAAAGTGCGACTGTGTAGAAACTAAAAGAGGCTTTCGAGATCGAGAGAGACTTGAATATATTTTCTTGATTGGGGATTGGGGTTTTTGCTTGTTTGGTTAATGGGATATGAGTGGATGTATAGTCCCAAAACTTAATTGGGGAAGGAGAAGTGGTAAAACCTACGCGGCAAAAAATTGGAAGTAGGGCTGCCGCAAAAATTAGAAATGGGACAATAAATAAAATAATAACTATAAAAAATAATAATAATGAAAAAAAGATTGCGTTTGCTATGCGTGTGGAGGCGTTCACTGTTCTGTGTGCGTGCCTATCAGTGCTACTACCGTGCAAATAATACCCTCCTCCAACGGGCAAATAATCTAGGGGTGAGCAAAACCGAGCTGAAACTAAAAAATCAAACTGAAGTGATGTATTCGATGCGGTTCGATTTGGTTCGATTTTTTAAGGTTCGGTTTTCGGTGCGGTTAAAATATTGAAAAACCGCACAAGTTTCGGTGCGGTTCGGTTTTTTGTCCGAATGATGCGGTTTTAACCGAACCGCACCGAATATGTTCTTTTTTTTTTTACAAATATGAAATATGTGAACATGTTTGTATTGTACATATACATGCTCATTTTGGGCCTTTAGTTTGGAATGACTAACATTAACAATAAATAAGTAAAGTAATATATAATACCAATAACAATTAAAAATTAATAACATTACATTAAAATATAATTTCTTGCGTTAGTTTTCCACTTTCAGTTCAAATTTTGGAGTTTTAGTTTGGTAATATTGCATATAGATGATGATGATGATGTAGCTTCATTTTATTTTGGGTGTTTTTTTATTTTTTATTTTCTCAATTTGCGGTTAACCGAAACCGCACCGCACCGACCCGAAAATTTCGGTGCGGTTTCGGTTCGGTTTTTCTACATGTTTCGGTGTAGTCCAGTTTGGGTGAATAAAAAATTTCAATTTTTGGTTTTTTGCGGTTCGGTGCGGTTTTGCACCGAACCGCACCATGCTCACCCCTAAAACAATCAGCTACACAAACGACAATTCGACACCTGGGGACGACCCGCCAAAAGGAAAGAAACCCAACCCGAAATAAGAACCCAAAAACTCCTGCAATAGGCTAGCTGGACTCGTCTTCTGACCAAACTCCTTACCCGAACGGGCCACTCCCAACACAGCAACCGGAGCATCGCCCCTAACCCCACAGACCCAAGCCAGCCACGACCCAACCGCAACTCACACTGTCCAATCCGCCCGCAAAAATAGAACCTGCACAGGGGAAAGCAGAGAAGAGGGGAAAGGGGGCCACACTCACCCCCAACCCACTCAACGGAGAAAGCTGAAGCCAACCGAACTCCCGCGCCCGAAACCTCCATCAACTCATAGACAACCGGCTGAGCGGTGAATCTCTACAACAAGGAGGGTTGTCGACATCGAACGGGGAGCTCCGCTCGGTCTGGTCGGCGCCTCTGAAGGCCCAGGAGGAGGAGGCGGCCACGGAAATTAGGTTTTGGAAGGGAAATGGGATTTTTTTTCTTTTCGGGGGGAGAGTGCTTATGGTGGATTGGCAGAGTGCTTTTTTTTTTTTCTTTCTAAAGCAAACTTTCATTTATAAAACTCAAGAGTTAATGTACAAAGCATGACCAATCAACTGATTGCCCTTTTAATACCAAAGCTCAAAGCCCAAAATAGATAGGAAAAGAAAATGCGAAGGTACCAACAAGAAGCTAGTAACCTCCTTCAAAGAAGAAAAATGAAACCCAGGACCCCCCCACAAAAGAACAGCAAAACAAAAGACCAACAAAATAAAGAAAGCACTAAAACATCTGCTCCCACAATCACCAGACCCTTCCTCCACACAGCATCCCCCATCTAACAAAGCTACACCACTTCCAAAATAACTACACAAACACTAACACCAGCAGACCAGGCAAAACCATATTTACAGTACCACAACCCAAAAGAAAGACCCCACATACTCCATTGGCCACACCAGAAACAAAATATATTTACAAATAGAAGAAAATGATACTGCACTGACCACTCCATGGTTGCCCTACAGTCATTTACCTTCCCAACACAGTTAAACCCCCTACCCCAACACAAACAGGCTCTCAGGCCCCCACTACTTCACCAAATTCTAACCATTCATACCTTGCTCTCATAGTTGTTTTCCTCTCAGACACCCATTCCTGCCTAAATACCCAACTATTCCTCGTTTTCCACAGCCACCATAAGACATATGTTGATAGTGCTATCCTGTCTTTTACCTCTCCCAGATCCTCCATCAAACATATCTCTTGCCACCAAAGTTTAAAAACCATTTCTTTATCCACCAAGCCATCCCAATTCACACCACAAAGCCTCCACATTGTTTTTGCTCTTTGACACTGGAACAAGATATGCTCATGAGTTTCCTCTTCAACCCCACACATTTTGCAAACAACATCAATCTTCAAGCCTCTCTTCTGCAGCTTCACTTTGACCCCACAAAACCATGATAGCACCTCCAGATGAATACTTTGATCTTGTGTTTCACCTTTATATCCAATGTCTTCTTCCATATTTTGGCCTGCAACTTTTCAGTGTTACTTGTTTTAGGTTTGCCATTAATCACTTCCAAGTTTTTTTGTAGGACAGAGTACATAGACTTCACAGTGAACATCTCTTTTTTGGTATGCCTCCACACTAACCTATCTCTACCCCTCTTATCTCCCTCCCTTCTGGGGACTCTAATTCCTAAAATAGCCTGAGCATCCCTAGCACAAAAAGTTTTCTCTACCAATTCATTATCCAACCATACACCATCAACATCAAATAAATCACTCACTGACTTCAGCCTAACTCTATCCTCTTCAAACCTGCAAAAGGGGATGGGATTGATAGTGTTAGGCAACCAAGGTGAGTCCCATATTGAAGCCCCATCCCCAACCTGATACCTAATCCTCTCTCTCAAATGATGCCTAATAATTAGCCAGGATTTCCACAACCATGAATCAAAAGGCCTGGCTTTTATGTCCCACACACTTCTATATGAAAAATATCTTCCTCTAAGCACCTTACATAACAGCAAGTTTGGGTTTGTCAAAACTCTCTGTTGATATACGGAATTTAACAACCTAATTAATACGTATTGAACGAGATAAGTAGCAGAAAATATGATTTTTATTGACTGATTTGAAGTCCGTTTTGCAGTACAAGAGGTCGGTTCTTGATGGACCGAGGTGTTTAATGCTTGGATTTAATGCACGTGAAAAAGATCCTCGTATTGAGTTAAATGCAGCTATTTATAGTAATATTTGGATCGTCTTTTGAGAGATTCGGCGGCATTTAATGCGAGTTGACAACATAGGGTTAACTATCCTGTAGGTGGGTCCTCAGACAATGATGAGGGTATGGGTTGTCTGCCAGTTGATTGACGGACATCACATCTCTGCTGGAAAGAAGTCGGGTCTGAGTGACCTCGGTTCTCTGTGAATGTCGGTTGACTGTCTGTATCGAGATGTCGGGTCTTTGTTTATTCACCTCGTCTCGTGGCTCCTGAGGTCGGTATGCCTCCAGCCTAACCTGTCATTAGGCCTGAGTTCCTCTTATCAACCCACGTGGCGTGTTCTCGACAAGCGATTTTGATTCGATATCAACATAGAGGCCCATAGCATTAAGGAGTACACGAATGTGGTACTTCTTGATGCCAATTCGTCTCCGTCAATCTCATTCCGAGATCTTCTTGGTCAGCCCGAGGTCGAACCTGTAATGCGTTGTTTCATTTTAAAGAATTTACTGATTTTATTTATTAAAATCAGAGTTATTTTTTTTAGCAAATCTCAAATTAAATTTTAAAACTCAACGGGCGCTACTTATCTACCAAGAATAAATTAAACAAAAATACAAACACATAAAACCAAGCATAAAACAATAAGGAGATATCTATACATGCATAACTAACAGTTATAAACAATAAATCCAAGCATTTATTAAGTCCCCAAAATAACCATAAGCAAAGCATAATCCCAAAGGTTCAAATCCGACATAACTTAATTATCCCAATCAAGCAGAAAAATAAAACCAAGTCATGAAACAATAATTCAACAATGTCATAAATAAGCAGAAGCATATATCATGATAACATAATCTACCCATTGACCACCATCCCGCTTGTCTTTACGCCACCGCCACCAGCTCAGCTCAACCTAAAGAACAGGAAGAGGAGGACAAACAGAAAAGTAATGGGGTTGAGCATCACCATCGAGCTCACCATTATCGCACAATTTATCTCGTATAAAAATTTAAAACATTATAACCATAGTATTCATAGAATCCAAAGTCTAACTCCCTACTTTGCCCTATCGCAAACCTCCTATGTACATAAAATAACCTTCCGGATACAACAAAAAGGAGCAACTGGAAACATTCCCATCACCGAATATAACTACGGGTCTGGGATCCTTTCCAGGAGACAGTAGAGCTGTTTTTCCCCTTCACGAATATCATACGGACTGGGGCGTCACCTCTCCGAATCTACGGGCCGATGGTCTCTCACTGTGTATGCATACCTCAAACGCACTAACATACAGGACACTTAGACTAGGGTTCTCACACATACAACATTTTTCAAACGAAGCATTTATACGAAATATTAAGTGCGATAAATGTAGATACACTTAAAAGTACCCACCTGATTGAAGCGACAGTTCACATTCACGAATCTCAAAATCAGGGTGAGGTCAACACCTCAAAATACCTACATTAAGTCAAGGTACTAAAATCAATACCTTATTTTGACTTAAAAAGAAATCACAAATAGACTTAGTCGAACTTGATTCAACTAAGACGTTCGTGAAGTCCTGTGGATGTTAGAACTCTAGGACTTAGACTCGATCAAACCTCTTATTGGAGTTCACACAAATTCAAATAAATGACAATCAAACAAGTCACAAGGAACCACATAACAAGTCGGTTACCAATACTTAACCAAAAATTACTATTTGAACATAATTGCCGAGATTTACACATGTATAAGATGGTCTAACAAACCAACGAGTTAGGCTCTGAAACTTTAACAAACACTTCACCTCTCAGTACTAAGAAAAAATCACCAAGTTTCAACCCCAAACTCAAAGTACCCTATTTTATAAAATTCAGACAAGTTTACAGCAAAAACAAACATAAATTTACCACC